AAACTGGGCTGGGGGGTGGTGGTTGAGGGACCTCTTGAAGGTCAGATGGTTGAGGAACCTCTTGAGGGACGTCTTGAAGGTCCAAGGGGTTGAGGGAGCTCTTGAAGGTCAGATGATTGAGGAACCTCTTGAGGAACCTCTTGGAGGTCCAAGGGGTTGAGGAACGTCTTGAAGGTCCAAGGGGTTGAGGAACGTCTTGAAAGTCAAGGGGTTGAGGAACCTCTTGAGAAACCTTTTGAAGGTCCAAGGGATTGGGAAACCTCTTGGAGGTCGGGGGGTTGAGGGAGCTCTTGAAGGTCAGGGGGTTGAGGAACCTCTTGAAGGTCCAAGGGGTTGAGGAACCTCTTGAAGGTCCAAGGGGTTGAGGAACCTCTTGAGGAGCCTCTTGAGGGGTTGAGTGATCTCTTGAAGGTCAAGGGGTTGGGGAACCTCTCGAGGGCTTGAGGGACCTCTTGAAGGTCGGGGGGTTGAGAAAGCTCTTGGAGGTCAAGAGGTTGAGGAACCTCTTGAAGGTCAGATGGTTGAGGAACATCCTGAAGGTCCAAGGGGTTGAGCGACCTCTTGAAGGTCCAAGGGGTTGAGGAACGTCTTGAAGGTCCAAGGGCTTGAGAGACCTCTTGAAGGTCGAGGGGTTGAGGGACCTCTTGAAGGTCGAGGGGTTGAGAAAGCTCTTGAAGGTCAAAGGCTTGGGGAACCTCTTGGAGGTCAGATGGTTGAGGAACTTCTTAAGGGACCTCTTGAAGCTCCAAGGGGTTGAGGAACCTCTTGAAGTTCTGGTGATTGAGGGACCTCTTGAAGGTCCAAGGGGTTGAGGGACCTCTTGGAGGTCAAGGGGTTGAGGAACCTCTTGAAGCTCTGGTGATTGAGGGACCTCTTGAAGGTCCAAGGGGTTGAGGGACCTCTTGGAGGTCAAGGGGTTGAGGAACCTCTTGAAGCTCTGGTGATTGAGGGACCTCTTGAAGGTCCAAGGGGTTGAGGGACCTCTTGGAGGTCAAGGGGTTGAGGAACCTCTTGAAGCTCTGGTGATTGAGGGACCTCTTGAAGGTCCAAGGGGTTGAGGGACCTCTTGGAGGTCAAGGGGTTGAGGGACCTCTTGAAGCTCTGGTGATTGAGGGACCTCTTGAAGGTCCAAGGGGTTGAGGGACCTCTTGAAGGTCCAAGGGGTTGAGGAACCTCTTGAAGCTCTGGTGCTTGAGGAACCCCTTGAAGGCCAGGAACCTTGAGGAACCTTCAAGAAACCGAGGTTCAACCGTGGAGTTGGAGATTGAGGGGGGGGATGGGTGGATCTTGGTGGCATCTGGGGGGGGTTTGGTGGCTTCTGGTGGTGG